TATATATATATATGTGTGTATATATATATATATATATATATATATAAAATGTATTTACTTACAATATTTTTATTATTTTAATAAATGAAATACCTCGCTGCTGCTAAATAAATGGGTTCCTATGCATAATTGTAAATCTAATTTAGAAATTAGAGGCAATGTTAAACAGCTTATTGATGGGACAATTTGACTTTTCCTGTTTTGAATAAAGGATTCTTACTGTAATAAATAGGAGCACTGTACCATAACAAATTGATTTTATGCAGATCATCACCTTTATGTTTGGGGAGGTTTGCAATATCAGATATAAAAAAAAATGATTACTTATTCTACCATTCCAAAGTAATTGTTTATTATTTTCCTATTATACAAACACAAAGGATCAATAATACTGAACCGCCAACAGTGCTATAAATAGATTTCCTTCAAACATTGCCCGTATATTAGTTTTAGCAATCTGTGGCAATGTTATCTCAATGACACTGCTGCAGCCAACCTTTTCTGAACCTATACTGTGTGAGATTGTGTATATATGTATATTCAATAAACTGTGTGTGAATGTATGTATAAGAGTGTGTCTGTCTCTCTCTCTCTCTCTCTCTCCCTCTTCTCCTCTTTCTCTCTCTCTCTCTCTCTCTCTCTATATATATATTAAGTCTTCGAGTTGCAAACATGCATTCATATGCCAGGTTGTTCTGCTGTGTACTTTACTGTATAGTACAATAGTGTACAGTGTTGATTTCAAGTCTAGGATGTCTGGAAGCAAGCATAAAAGCAGTGGTTTTGTCTGGTCACTCCATGCCAGCCCCTGTATGTCTGCTTTTGTATTTTATTTATTTATTTCAGGTACTTATATAGCGCCGTCAATTTACGCAGAGCTTTACATATATATTGTACATTCACATCAGTCCCTAACCCTCAAGGGGTGTACAATCTAAGGTACTGTACCTTTCAAGGTACTGTAAGAGTAAAAACATCCTTTCTTTACAGTATTTCTTGTGTTTGTTTTATGCATTATTTGTGGGAAAAGTATTATAAACCTTACTTTGTTGGACTTGGAAACAAATTCCCATGACAGAACATACTGTTTTTTATATATATATATATATACAGTCATGGCCGAAATTGTTTGGCATGCATGGAGATGAACATGTAATACCATGAGGCATCCTACTGCTCTCCAATGTGCACCCAGCTGCAGTTTTTCCTGAAAATCAAGTATTTCACACAAAAAAGGTATTGCATTAAACACATGTTTTGCTATACACATGTTTATTCCCTTTGTATGTATTGGAACAAATATAAAAACAGAGGCAGTAAAAAGCAAATATGACATAATGTCACACGGAAAAACCCCAAAAATGGGCTGGACAAAAGTATTGGCACCCTATTAACTTAATATTTGGTTGCACACCAGCTTTGGAAAACATAACTGAAATCAGTCGCTGCCTATAACCATCAATAAGCTTCTGACACCTCTCACCCGGAAGCACATTTTGGACCACACTTCCTTTGCAAACATGCAAACAGCTCCAGGTCTCTCTTATTGGAAGGACACCTTTTCCCAACAGCAATTTTTAAGATCTCTCCACAGGTGTTCAATGGGATTTAGATCTGGGCTCATTGCTGGCCACTTCAGAACTCTCCAGCGCTTCTTTGCCATCCATTTCTGAGTGCTTTTTGACGTATGTTTGGGGTCATTGTCCTGCTGGAAGACCCAGGATCTTGGACGCAAACCCAGCTTTCTGACACTGGGCCCTACAGTGCGACCCAAAATCCTTTGGTAATCCTCAGATTTCATGATGCCTTGCACACAGTCAAGGCACCCAGTGCCAGAGGCAGCAAAACAACCCCAAAACATCATTGAACCTCCACCATATTTTACCGTAGGTACTGTGTTTTGTTCTTTGTAGGCCTCATTCCGTTTTCGGTAAACAGTAGAATGATGTGCTTTACCGAAAAGCTCTATTTGGTCTCATCTGTCCACAAGACGTTTTTCCAGAAGGCTTTTGGCTTACTCAAGTACATTTTGGCAAACTGTAGTCTTGCTTTTTTATGTCTCTGTGTCAGCAGTGGGGTCCTCCTGGGTCTCCTGCCATAGCGTTTCATTTCATTTAAATGTCGACGGATAGTTCGCGCTGACACTGATGCTCCCTGAGCCTGCAGGACAGCTTGAATGTCTTTGGAACATGTTTGGGGCTGCTTATCCCCATCCGGACTATTCTGCGTTGCAATCTTTCATCAATTTTTCCTCATCCGTCCACGACCAGGGAGATTAGCTACAGTGCCATGGGTTGCAAACTTCTTGATAATGTTGCGCACTGTGGACAAAGGCAAATCTAGTTCTCTGGAGATGGACTTGTAACCTTGAGATTGTTGATATTTTGCCACAATTTTGGTTCTCAGGTCCTCAGACAGTTCTCGTCTCCTCTTTCTGTTGTCCATGCTTAGTGTGGCACAGACAGACACACAATGCAAAGGTTAAGTGAACGTCTCTCCTTTTTATCTGCTTTCAGGTGTGATTTCTATATTGCCCACACCTGTTACTTGCCCCAGGTGAGTTTACAGGAGCATCACATGCTTGTAACATTCTTATTTATCCGCAGTTGTGAAAGGGTGCCAATACTTTTGTCCAGCCCATTTTTGGAGGTTTGTGTGACATTATGTCGAATTTGCTTTCTTTCCTCCCTTTTTTTTGCTTTGTCCCAATACACACAAAGGGAATAAACATGTGTATAGCAAAACATGTGTTAATGCAATACGTTTCGTGAGAAATACATGATTTCCTGGAGAAATATCAAGGGTGCCAACAATTTCGGCCATGACTGTATATATATATATATATATATATATATATATAAAATTTCCTGTTGTGGAATGCATGGAGATGAACATGTAATACCATGAGGCATCCTACCTGCTCTCCAATGTGCACCCAGCTGCAGTTGGTGTGCTACCTGTTGTTTTGATGTCTCCACTGACTACAATGCTTTTTGGAGCTGCAGTTCTCTGTGTTTTAATGTGTGCTGTAGTGTTAGGTTGATTCTATGTCTGTCTTTTATGTTGTTGCCATCTGTGTTCCCTTCATACCTGCACATTTTGGAGAAGGCAAGGTTGGATTGAGGGGTGGGGTAAAATGTTTTATTTAAGGGGATTAAACGTTTGCATATTTGTCACCCTGCGGAAGTTGATCTCTGGCTTACCAAACCTTTGGGGGTTTTTTTTTTAAACAATAAGATAGCAGTTTTAATACCATATTCAAGAATACTGACTTGGCCTTTTAAATTTTAGTGTCCAGTTATTTCATACACCAGCCTAGACTATTCACATGTGTCTATCTCCAAATACATGCATGCCAGTACATACAGCGGCTATAGAAAAGAATCACCCCCCCCCTCCCCCCTTTTAAAATAAGCACATTTTGTTGCTCCACAGCCTGAAATGAAGACAGAAAGCTGCACTCAGTAAAAAAAAAATCAAAAACAGAATCACTGAATTGGAAAAAGGATCACTCCCTTGTGTCAAATATTTTGTTGAACCACTTTTGCTTTAATTACAGCCTTTCGTCTGTTGGCATATGTCTACTAATTTTGCACATCTAGACTTTGCAATATTTGCACACTTTTCTTTGCAGAACTGCTGAAGTTCAATTTGATGGTGACTGTTTGTGGACTACAGTCTTCAAGTCATTCCACAGATTTTTAGTGGGGTTCGAGTCCGGGCTCTGACTAGCCCAATTCAGGACATTCTCCTTTTTCTCCTTCAACCATGGTGTGGTAATTTTTACTGTGTGTTTTTTGTCATTGTCATGTTGGAAGGTAAACCTTCTTCCCAATGACAACTTTCTGGCAGAGATCAGCAGATTTTTCTTCAGAATGTGGCGGTGTTTTGCCACATCCATTTTTCCTTTTATCCTGACAAGTGCTCCAGTCCCTGCTGCAGAGAAAAACCCTATAACAGGATATTAAAACCTCCATGCTTTATTGTAGGAATGGTGTTATTTGGATGGTGAGCTGTATTGGATTTCCGCAAGACATATCGTTTAGTGTTAAGGCCAAATAATTCAATTTTAGTCTCATCTGACCAGAACGACTGTTTCCATGTGGCCTTAGAATCTTCCGAGTGCATTTTTTGACAAAGCTCAGTAGTAGCTGCATGTGGCCTTTCTTGAGGAGTGGCTTTTTTTTTTGTTTCTTGCAACCCTCCCATACAAGCTACATTTGTGGAGAATTTGTGATCTTGTTATCACACGCACACAATGACCACTCTTTGTCATAAACTGCTTTAGAGTTGCTGAAGGCCTCTTGGTAGCCTCTCTGACCAGTTTTCCACCTGGTTCTTTCATCCAGTTTGGAGAGACATCTTGATCCAGGGAGGGTCTGTGTTGTACCAAATACCTTCCACTTCTTTATAATAGACTTTACTGTGCTTCTAGACATTGATAAAGCCTTTGAAATTTGTTTGTATCCATCTCCTGACTTTTGCCTGTCCACAACTTTGTTCTGGAGATCTTTTGACAGTGCCTTGCCACCGATAGTTGATTGTTCACTTCAGTTGCACTACCAGGGCCTGAAATGCTTCAGGGAAGTCCTTTTCATACTGAGCTAATCAAAATGACCACAGCTGATCACAGTTGGAAAGTCAAATGGCTTTGTGTGCCATTGAGAAGGTGATTAGCTACACCTGATTGAGTTTACAAGTCATTTTTAGGAGGGGGGGGGGGTGATCCTTTTTCCAAATCAGTAACTCCGCTTTTGATTTTTTAAAATATTTTTTTTCTGACATGTTGGTGTTATATCTTTCATTTGGATGTTATAAATTGTACTGAGTAAATACAGCTGATGAAAACAAAAACTGTGTCCATTTTCATTTCAGGCTGCAAAATGTGATTATTTAAAGGGGATGATTCTTTTCTTTACCCACTGTACTAGCTACCTATAGCAGATAAACTATATTGGCAAAAGTATTGCCAACTGGTGTATAAACTCAAGCACCTAGGTATGCAGAGTGCTTCAACAAATATCTCTGAAAGAATGGGTCGCTCTCTGGAGCTCAGTGAATTCAAGCGTGGTACCGTGTTAGGTTGCCACCTGTGCAATAAGTCCTTCCGTGAAATTTTCTTGCTACTAAATATTCCACGGTCAACTGTTAGTGGTATTATAACAAGGTGGGAAGAACCTGGGAACAACAGCAACTCAGCCACAAAGTGGTAGGCCACATAAAATTACAGAGTGGGGTCAGCGCATGCTGAAGTGCACAGTGCGCAGTAGTCGCCAACTGTCTGCAGAGTCAATAGCTAAAGACCTCCAAACTTTGTGTGGCCTACAGATTAGCATAACAACTGTGTGTAGAGAGCTTCATGGAATGGGTTTCCATGGCTGAATGGCTGCATCCAAGCCCTACATCACCAAGTGTAATGCAAAGCATTGGATGCAGTGGTGTAAAGAACGCCACTACTGGACTCTAGAGCAGTGGAAACGTCTTCTCTGGAGTGACGAATCTCACTTCTCTGTCTGGCAATCTGATGGACATGTCTGGGTTTGGCAGTTGCAAGGAGAACGGTACTTGCCTGACTGCATTGTGCCAAGTGTAAAGTTTGGTGGAGAGTGGATTATGGTGTGAGGTTTTTTTTTCAGGGGTTGGGCTTGGCCTCTTAGTTCCAGTGAAGGAAACGCTTAAGGCGTCAGCATACCAAGACATTTTGGACACTTGCATTCTCCCAACCTTGTGGGAACAGTTTGGGGATGGCCCCTTCCTGTTCCAACAGGACTTTGCACCAGTGCACAAAGCAAGGTCCATAACAGACATGGATGAGCGAGTTTGGGGTGGAGGAACTTAACTGGCTTGTACAGAGTCCTGACCTCAACACGATAGAACACCTTTGGGATGAATTAGAGCGGAGACTGCGAAACCAGGCTTTCTCATCCGACATCCGTGCCTGAACTCACAAATTCGCTTCTGGAAGAATGGTCAATCATTCCCATAGACACACTCGTAAACCTTGTGGACAGCCTTCCTAGAAGAGTTGAAGCTGTTATAGCTGCAACGGGTGGTCCAACTCAATATTGAATCCTACGGACCAAGACTGGGATGCTACTAAAGTTCATGTGCGTGTAAAGGCAGGCGTCACAATACTTTTGGCAATAAGAGTGTATGTTGAGTATGGAACCCAAAACTCTGACACCACAAGGCACAGTATAAGTTGGTGGCCAATTAGTGCTTTTCCAGCCATTAGCTTTTCTGGTTTGTACTTCTGCAATAGAGCTTCAAGCACACCTCACCTTTTCAGAATTTTTTTTCTCTTTGCCCAGTTTATGGTTCTGTTTGGTGCACATTATGTAATTATTATTAGTACTTGTATGTTATATTTTCTTAACGTTTGTGTAAAGGATGGGACATGAAGGGAAATATCTGAAATAGGCGACAAGGGGCAGTACCCATACACTTCAAAATGATATCACTATTGTTGTTTAAAGGCTTATCGAGCCTAATATCTGCCTGGCCGCCTGCAAAGCATTCTCTTGATTGGATAAGGTGGAGAGGTGGGTGATGGAACGCTCTTCACCTTGTCATTCAGAGAACTCTTTGCATTTATTTAGAAAATGCAAAGCATTGTCTGAATGGTACCCATGTGGAGCAGTCAACCTTCTATATTCATGAAGCATCAGGCTGGCAGCTCAGCATGGGACAAGGAAGCAAGTGAAGAACTAAATAGCGGCATCGATTTCCAGCTTTTAGTGACATCAGCCAGTTATGTTATACATAGTTACATTGGTCCAAGCTGGACAAATGTAACTGTGTATATCATGCCAATTCCTGGTATTAATCTTTATTGGTCATTTATAGAGAACCACCATGTCCACTTACTTGGGTCATTCTATTGTTTGTTGAAGTTTGGCAATACTTTATCCCCTGAACTCTTGTCTGTGAGCTCTGTTATGTCGGAAGGACAGTGAGCACTATGCGCAAAAGGTTCAGTGAACATCGGCGGTTTATAGAACAAAAAGTGGATAAGCATAGTGCCCCCTGTCATTTTTGTACTTTGCATGAAGGGAGCACTCAGGGATTAGAGTGGTTTGGGATGGAGGCCATTCCTATCACCGTCCCTGAGAGAGTAAGATTTTCCAGACTTTACCAGAGTGAGGTATTCTGGATTTTTACATTGAATGTCTTCAGAAGGGTTAAATGAAGACCTTGAAATTAACACTCACGTTTAAAGTTTAAATTAAAATCTAATTAATACTTTCATTCTTCATAATCCATCAGTTTGTATGCCTGAGCAACTTGGACTGCCATCCATGGCCCTAAGTCTCACAGTAAGGCTATAGGATAAATTATATTAACTAGATGGTTGCCACTTTAATATTCTCCTTATATCCATACTACCATCCTATTTATAATTTTGTTTTAATTATTTATTTGCAAAGTTCTCTTTTTTAGACTTTTTATATTTGTACATAAAAAGAGCTATAGCTACATGTTTTAGGATTAGGACTGCCAACATATTGATGTATTTGAGATATTCGTTGCTGTAGTCCCGAACCAGCGCCCCCCCCAGCCATCTCTGGAGTTGCCCTTTTAAGATCCTCATTGGGAATTAGCAATACTGCATAAAAGACTCGGGATGGCATGGGTGGGTATGACCTCCTGACAAAGGAGGCCAAGCCTCCAAAATGTGTCATCATAGCAACCACACTGTGGAAGTGTCTCAACCACCCAGGAGTAGTATACGGAGCACACGCGCAGTTGTGGCGGTAGTAGGGCAACTGCGCTCTTTGCCCCTTTTTTTGTCTTTTGCTTAGACTACCTCTGCCACCCAGTGGAGTAATTGAATGGTTGCAACACCTGTTTTGTATCCCCAGCACTATATCATCCAGCCAACCCGAGAGGTTGTGTTGAAGATCAATGCATTATTGACACTATTTTATGGCCTCTGTTTTGAATCTACCAGTAGCTCCTGTTTGTCTTGGAGGATCAGGCAGTTCCTGGCCTGATGAATCAGGTTTCCAGTCCTGGGACTGGCAAGGATTTCTCTTCCCACCGTTGGTTAGGTAGATCCTCCTACATCTCAAGATCATTTCCTGGTCAGGTCTTCTGAGAAGGACACTTGAACAAAGTCAAGGTGCTGGCATAGCTTTACCATCTAAGAGGAACACGTGTTCTTTTTTGTGTTGAGAGCTGGTTTGGATCTCGGCTTGGACAAAACCCTGTGTTCTCCTCCTGTCTGTGCTGCTCCCTGCAAATATGATCTTCTGGCCAGTTCCCCCAGCTGGTTACTTCTGGAATTGGAGGAATGGTTCACTTACTGAGGTGCATTCCAGATCCTTTGCTGTAGGTGGAGAATTGCAAAAAGGGACCCCATGATACTGTGGGTTATCTGTAGAATTAACAAGCTAGTTTCCTGTTGAAGGAGTCTTATGCCAGTAGCAGGGAATGCTTTTAATACTTTGTGGGATCCATTCTAACAAGTCTTAAGTCTTTCCTCTTTGGGTGTAAGGTTGGTTAGCTCAATGTGGCAGATGCATTTTAGTGAGATGTCAGTTCATGTGGTTTAAAAGCCTGATAGCCCACTTTTATTAAAAGGAAAAACAAATTCTATTAACTTGCCTACCCTGGGGTTTCAGTTTCACACAGCAAACCAGGTAACAGCAAATTTACAAAGCTGCCTGGCTCACTCAGCCTTGGTTACAGCACCTTACTGCATGGGTCCACTCTTGGCCTCTAGATAGGGGTTCTCCTGACACCCCATGCTCTCCCACTCCTCTGAGACCTACAGATTCCTCCAGTCCCTTGGACTTTCTCTTACTTGCCTCACCTTATTTACACTCCCGGACTCTCGGCTGTCCCAACTCTCTCAGTTCGATGGGTATGGATTGGAAACATGGAGTGCTATCTTTCAAGTAGATTGCCTCTGTCTCCAGACAAGAGCACACCTCCCTCCTGGATGGAACCCTGAGCTATTCCCAAGCCTTTATTATAAGGGCTGTGTGCACCTGGACCTTCTAGGCCTCAACAAAACTTGGAAACTGGGTTGGAGATTTCTTCCTCCCCGAAAAAGACACTTCAAAATCCCCAAACTACGGAGCCCAATCCAAGATTACCAAAATCGCGAGAAGGCTGTAAAAACAGATTTCTCAGTTCATAGTCAATGCTTCGAAGTCCCGCTCTCTGCATACTTGAAAACTCGGTGTCTTTTTTACAGACATTTGCGCAGTGGCAGGGCTTCACGCTGTCACAAGCTATATACTCTATTAACACTACATTTTCAGTGTGTTCATTGCCCATGCAGGCTGTCCCAAAAACGTTAAAAAAAAGAGGGAGGTTTATTTTCCTTGAACAGTTTTGGTATGTTTCCTCTCACTATGGCCTGAATGTGTTTTTGGCTTTTATAGGAATCTTTTTAAGTAATGTCCCATTTTCTTCTTGTACAGCAGGGGTAGGCAACCTTAAAGAGATGTAGATCTACTTGAACAACATGGGAGAAGTCAAGGATCACTGGGCACAGTGTCGCCTCCTTAAACCTGATGTAAACCTCTAACTGCCATACTTCCATGTCACAATCGTGTGCATCGTGCATTTAAATCAGGTGGTGGGGAGGCAACATACTGCCTCCTCACCAACAGCCAAACACACTTGGATCACTTTTCAGACGCGTGCTTGCAGCACTTGTGAATGAGTCCTTTAGTTGTAATCAGCAGCAGCACTCTTAGGACTTCTGTGAAGTCCAGAGGGTTAAGAAAGCAACACAGCGCTTCCTGTTTTAACTCCTTGCTTTCTGTACTGCACAAGGTTGCAGGGCACTTGCAGAGCAGCCTTGTTCACTTAAATGGGTCATGCTTGGCAGGTGCTACACCCACCAACCATGACAGGGCATATATCTCTTACTGTGACATGTGTACATATCTAGGCACTGCAGCTAAATGGGGTGTGGTTGGGGTGCGGGTGCTAAAAATATAGCTTAGCTATTGGGTTTTACAATCACCCACACTTAAAATGTATATGAACCCTTACTGTTCTGAGCCCCCTATAAGTCTGCTTTCACACTGATGTGCTTCGGTGTACCCACACCACGGGTGCAGCACAGTGCATCTGCAACTTTCCTGGGTTAGCTGTACTTTGCCATAGGCTTCTATTATATCCTGCAGGTGTGGTGCATGATCTGAAATTGTGCCAAACCGCAGGATATAATAAAAGTCTATGGCTAAGTGCAGCAAACCTGCAGGAAAGCTGCAGGTACACTGAACTGCACCTGTGGTGTGGGTAAACTGCAGCACATCAGTATGAAAGCAACCCTGTGCTGTTATGCCCAGTGTATTGCTTCACATTGACCTGAAGATCTCTTCTTGCCTGCTGCTGGCACCACTCTGGAGACCGCTAGCCGG